TTCCTCTCCCCTTCACCCATTTACCCCTCCTCTTCACCCTTCCTTCACCCCCACCCTTTCACCCCTTTTTTTCACCCTTTACCCGTCACCCCCTAATCTTTACCCTCCTTTCACCCCCTCCCCTTCAATCACCCCCCTTCATCCCTTCTCCCTTAATCAATGGATCTATGAATTATTATGGGTGTGTATGGCTGGAAATAATACTGGCTCAGCAGAATGATGTCTTCAGTGCACAGTGTTAACATCTTAATCGATTACCTGAAGATTAGACACCCCAGCTTATTTCTTCCGAAGATTAAGCCCTTTAACGCTAACCTAACCTAACCTAACCTACCTCTCACCATGTAGCGTTATGGTGGTTAATCTCCAGGTTCAAATAATCTGGGGTGTCTCATCTTTACGTGATTTATCGTAGTTAATAAAATATCCTTGCTGGAATTAAGTCTGTCTGGTCAGTAGTGTCTGTAGAGGTGTACTGGAGACCTCTTTCTACTAGTACTATCTTGTGTGCCCTTGTTTGTGTGGACACCTCCCCCCCCACACACATGGAAAAGTCCTGGATTCGCTCCCGTATAAAATTACTACGTGTTCCTGTCCTCTTGTATTCGCTGTGTTTACATTATAACGTAAAATTGTATTATCAGTAAAATCTAGCTTAATGCCGTAACATAGTTGTGTGTACACAGAGCCCCTTAACTGCCTCCTCTCTTCCAGTGTTTTTCACAGAATGGCCTCCTGTTCACCAGGCTGGCCAAGCTCATACCAAACCCTCGGGTACACTGGCAGCGCATGACAAACTGGTCAATTGTTTTATAACTGTGCTTTTGTGACAGCTGGCGGAGTGGAAAGAATAAAGTGAGTTTATTTTGTGTCCACTTTATATGACGTCATGTGTTAGGTGGTGAAATATACTTCATAACACAGCTGCAGTGAAGTATTGTCCCGCCTTCCATTAGTATATACATCGTTAGTCAGGTCCCGCTGCTTCATCCTGTGTTGTGGTGCTGTAAAATTACTACAGATAAGACCCCGCTAGAGTGGACACAGATGTGACCTGAGAAGTGACAGACATTAGTTGGGCCTGGGCGGACACGTGTGTTATTTAATTATAGTAATAACTTTATAAAATGAAGAGTTGCAGATTTATCAATGACGATGATGTATACAATGACGACGATGTGTACAATGACGACGAGGATGTGTACAATGACGACGATGATGTATACATTAAAGACGATGATGTATACAGTGACGACGATGATGTATACAATGACGACGATGATGTGTACAATGATGAAGACAATGTATTCAATGACCATTATGATGTATACAATGACGATGATGTATGCACTACCGAGATATACCGTAGGGTCTCTTTGAACACGGTACGGGTGAGTTGACAGTTGACATTCAAATGCCTTAGGCTGCGGGCGCTTCTCAGATATCCATCGTAAAATAATGAATATCTGGGTCCGCCTTATCGTCGCCCTACCATTGTTTGGCGGGAGTACCAGCAGAGCGTTTTCTTGACGACGTGAAGAATTTACTTCTTTCTTTTATGGTTCCAATAACGACTCACAATTCCCGCCATCTAGTACACGTTTTGAATGGGAACAAGGACGATTTAACGGTAAACTTAAGTCGATTTGGCGGTAAACCAGGTCGATTTGGCGGTGTCATGGATTTTATTTAAAGTCTGAGTGTCTGGGTGTGGATGTTATATAAGGTTATATTATATTGTGTCTCTTATAGTTCTTACCGTAGAGTTCGATAATTTCACACTGGTTACTTACAGGAGATTATGGTGTATCTACGTAGAAATTCACTCTCCACCACCCGACATTCCATGATTTATTCTTGATAAATGATGATTTAATGAGTTCCATTAATTTCCAACATCCATCTAAGTTATTGGTTTTACTTTGTCATAACCAATCAGTCATTACCTTTAGTAATAATAAGATAGGATCACAGATACTGGCAGATAATTGCACTTACATTTATTTGTCAAGCTTCCATACAATGATTTACAATTTGCATGTATATATGAGTCACTCACATTCACGCTGTAATAAAATTAATCTTCTAAAAGAGGGAATTTTCAACTTGGGGACACATGTGATTACTCTACTGTGGGTATGACTTAACAGAGCCTTAATTCTTCAAGTGATACATTTACTGCCAGCCTGGATTGCTCTTGTTGCAACCAGGCTTCCGTACAAGAACTTCTTTCCACGGGGAATAACAACAAAAAGGTACTCTTCATTGACAGTCACTGTAGACGGTTGTCGCATCAAGGGGAACTGGTAAGCGTGACTTGATTAACCACTTGGGTTCAGTAGGCCAGCCTGGATTGCTTTTGTCGCAATCAGGCTTCCACGTAATTTTTCCACGGGGATAACAAATCTGGGTTAACACACTTAATCTCGTGTCGATCACGGTCACTAGACGGGTGTCGCACAGGAGAACTCTGTAAGCGTGACTTGATTAACCATTTACTGTAGGTTTGATAGGCCAGCCTGGATTGCTCTTGTCGCAACCAGGCATCCACCCGTGATATTTCCACGGAGATAACAGCCGAGGTTAGCACACTTTGTCTCGTGTCACTGACGGTCACTGTACGGGGTGGCGGTGGAGGACTCTGCGTGGTGTCCCGTTCCCTTCAGGAGGGAGAGGGTGGGGACGACGTCTTAACTAACCCATGACCGAGGGGATACTACTCAAAATGTGGTTTTGGGGCGTGAGGCGATGAACAGTACAACACTGTCTCAATGGCCTCCCCCTATAGACTGGCTAACATACCACTAATGGAAAAAATATATCGTGGTCATGGCTCGCCAGGTACCTTCTCTAGTAAATAAACTTTGGAGTTGGTTGCGTGGGTAAGCCTAACACAACCCATGACAGGCAGTAAACCAAGAAAGTATGGTGGAAAATCAGAAAGGTTTGGTGGGAAACTAGAAAGATTTAGCGGAAAACAAGGTCGAATTGATAAAAATCCAGGTCGATTTGGCGGGAAACCAGGAAGGTTTGGCGGGAAAAAAAGGAAAGTCGTCTTAGCGGGAAACCTTTTGGCGGGAAACCAGTAAAGTCCAACTTGGCAAGAAAGTGGAATGTTATGGCGCCAAATAAGAATCTCTTATCATTAATGACACTAACATGGAAGTGATTAAATCATCCGTGAAAAACATCTTTTGGACAACAATAAACATAACAAAGAGACAAAGAAAGATGTTTATTCCTACTCTGATGGAGCTGAATTTGGCTATTATTTGTGGTATATATTTTACGACTCATGTTTACAGTAACCAAGTGAGGGACTGAATACATTTACCTCAACAAACTGTGCAGTAAAGAACATTGTAATTACAGGACATAGAGTGCATAATATTCTTAATTATTACAGTATAGTATAGATTGTATAGTATAATATAGTATATTATAAATTGTATAGTATAGTATAGACCCAATATCTTACAATGAGGATAAAAGCCGCGAGAATCTCCCGTCTCATTTTACGGTTGACTCAAGAGGCACGGACCGGGAGGCAGTGGATGGCGTAACTTGATAATGACGGAGAACGGAGCTGCATACACTTATGTAAACTAATACTGCGTTCAAACTGCTCTTTTACTATCAAACCAGATGCACTTTGTCTTGAGTGCAGAGCTTGGGAGGACGGAGGGAGGTGTGTGTGTGTGTGTGTGTGTGTATGTGAGGGGGGGGTTGCAAGGTAGAGAGGATGGGAGGAGGAATGGATGGACGGAATAGATGGGTGAAGGAATAGTTGGATGGAAGAATAGACGGGAGAAGGAACGGATGGATGGAAGAATAGACGAGAGGTGGAATGGGTGGACGGGAGGATAGAAATATAGACGGGAGAAGGAATGGATGAATGGAAGAAAAGACGGAGAGAGAGAGAGGACCAAGGAAGACAAAAAAAGACAAGAGGTTTGTTGGATGAATAAGTTATGAAGCTTGAAGAGGGTGAATGGACAGTGAAAGATTAGAATAAATTAGTGGGTAAGTGTTTTGGGTGACAGTGAGTCATTTTAGGCTGATGATGGTGATGATGGTGGTGGTGGTGGTAGTAGTGGTAGTGTTGGTGGTGGTGATGGTAGTAGTGATTATGATGGTAATAATGATGATAATTATAAAGTATATAGGGAGGCAGGGTTATTATACCGTATTTACTGTATATACATACTTCCAAATACATACATATACAGTATAGACAGCGAGAAGCGGAACAGTAGACAAACAGACGCACCTAAGTTTCTCATACACGAATATAAACCAACAAGAATAAACTACAACTGCAAATAGCAAAAACGAATAAAAAATCAATACAAACAGAGAAACAAAACTTACACAAACATGTACGGAGAGTCAACCAAAACTGTATGTTTGTTTACGTGAGTTACTCTCAGAACCACCGCCCAGGGGGAATGGCGCCACTGCCTTTTCCCATCCACCATAGTTACTCTTACTTGGCCTCCCTATATCTGGGTGGTCTCTACGTGGGTAGTGGGCGGCGTGGGCGTGATAAAGAAACTAGATGGATTAATGAAATTAACTCTGTAGCTTAATGTTAAGTGGGTAGGAGTGGAAGAAAACGTGAGGAGGTGGCAGAGTAGAAGGAGTGTGTTGAGGTTAGTGTCTGGGGTTCAAATCTCATCCAGCACAGTTAGTGATGATTGCCGCCGCCCGCTGGGACCTGTGGGCCGAGATTAGGGATTCGTGCAGCGCGGGGAATTGTATGGGTTTGTGAGGATGGTGGCAGAGGAGACTGTGTGGGCGGCGTGGTGGACTGTCTGGGTGGCTAAAGGGATTATGTGGGCGTCGTTTAAGGACACTATGTGGGCGGCATGGAGGATTGTGTGGGTGGCTTATGGGATTATGTGGTCAGTTTTTATGCACCGTGTATACGGCTTGGGTGGCTTAAGGAAATTGTGTTCATGGTGGCAGAGGAGACATTTCAAGGGGCTGTGTGGCTGGACTAGGGAACTGTTTGGAGGCTTGGGTGGCTTGGAGTGGTCCTTGGGTGTTTTGGTGTGGTCCTTTGGTGTCTTGGTGTAGTCCTTGGGTGTCCTGGTGTGGTCCTTGGGTGGCTTGGTGTGGTCCTTGGGTGGCTTTGTGTGGTCCTTTGGTGTCTTGGTGTGGTCCTTGGGTGGCTTGGCGTGGTTTTTGGGTGTCTTGGTGTGGTCCTTTGGTGTCTTGGTGTGGTCCTTTGGTGTCTTGGTGTGGTCCTTGGTGGCTTGGTGTGGTCCTTTGGTGTCTTGGTGTGGTCCTTGGGTTGCTTGGCGTGGTCCAAGGATGACTTTGCGTCTGTGAGTTACTTAAAATTGTCTGTGGCTTGATGTGGTCTGTGGGTGGTTTCATATGATGTATAGGTGGCTTGGGTAGTTTAAAATGATATATGAGTGGCTTGGGTAGTTTAATATGATCCATGGGTGGCTTGGTTAGTTTAATATGATCCATGGGTGGCTTGGGTAGTTTAATATGATCTTTGGATGGCTTGGGTGGTTTAATATGATCTATGGGTGGCTTGGGCGGTTTAGCATTACCCGTCACAATAGTTTACTCCGCCAGGTATCGCGTCAGGCAGACTGGGCTCGTGGGATTAACATGTAACAGCGATTTATCCCCGAGGAAGTGAACCTAATCCTGGAGGGGGATTTAAAGAGATTAAGGGAGAGGGGGGGAGAGAGGGGAAGTGGGGAGAGGACAGGAGGGGAGGGTGACTGGAGTGGAGAAAGGGGGAAGTAGAGTGATGGAGAGGAGGGGAAAAGGGCTGGGGAAGGAGAAGAGAGAGATGAGGAGAGGTGTGAGGGAAGAGGGAGGAGAAAGGTGCCAGAGGGGTGATGAAAGCGGGAGAGGAAGAAGAGGAGAAGGATGATTGAAGAAGAGGTAAGATGGGAGGGAGGAGGAGGAGTGTTGAGGATAATGGAAAGGAATCTATACACTTATGTAAACACACACACACACGCACACACACACACACACACACACACACACACACACACACACACACACACACACACACACACACACACACACTCCCGTTGTCACTGTTCAGATGTTTATGTCGCCAGGTACCTAACCCTAAACCACCACGTATAGGTTACCCATCTACCACACCCACACAAATCCACTTTGGCACACCCACACACCCAACAAAGCCATCCTGACACTCACACACCCCATAAATCCATCTTGCCACACCCTCACACACCTTCACAAACCCACAAGATCCAGTTGACGTAAACTAAAATTTTGTGGGATGTTAGATCTTTCTGGGGGTAGGGTTTCCATGCTTGTATACAGTAATCCAGATTGGGACCTACTTGAGATTTGTATAGTTAAAGGAGCATTTTCCTCACTGCTACCCCAGCTTGTGCTTAGTGTTGTTGTATCCTACGTGTAAGATCTTGCATTTGTCGGTCTCGAGGCCATTTGAACAGCTCATTCAGGTCTTCCTGCATTGTTACATTATTCCTTGACCTTCTGGAGGTTGTTTGCATGAGTGGGATTACCTTGTTATTTTATAAGTGGGATTATGTTGTTATTTTGATTGGGATTTCTTCAGTATTCCTTTGAGTGGAATATTCTTGATATTTTCACAATTGGGACATTTTAAAGATTTTATTTTTTGCGAATGAGATTTTCTAAGACTTATATGAATTTTTATTTAATGTTTTTAAAATAAGTTTTAAGGAAAGACTAATGGATGAGATTTCATTAAATTAGCCTGGAAGATTTCCTTAACTCTTTAAAGGGCAATATCTCTCGCACTTAAGTATTTTATTCTGACTAACAGAGACGATTTCATTCAGCTCAGTGAATCCCCTGCCACTCAAAGGGTTAAAAGAAATGCGTTAGTGATGTCCGTAATTTTTTGAGAAGAAATAATAATAATAATAATAATAATAATAATAATAATAATAATAATAATAATAATAACAATAATAATAATAATAAGATGGAGAAGAATAAATAGTATGAAGAAACTAAAAAAACAACAAGAAAAGAAAATAAGAACAAAATAATAAGAAATGAAACACATAAATATCGAAAAATCCAACAGAAAGGATAAACGAAAGAATATTAAATACTCCCGATAAGTGATGACGCTCGGCAGAATATCTCACCAAGAGGATTAGTGACGTACTAGAGTTAAGTTATTGATACATTATATGAGTAAAACAATATGTAAACAAAAACAATATGTAAACAAAAACAATATGTAAACAAAAATGATACATGTTATAGAGAAGGGAAAATCTTGCTTTGTGTTTGTCCCCTTCATTAATAGCGGGTTATGTCGAGAGAGAGAGAGAGAGAGAGAGAATGTTAACTATGGTGAAAGAAACAGTTATATAATATAAACTTGAATATATTAAAAAATATATAAATCAACAGATAAGATAATACCAAAATGCAAACTCAAAAATCATGACAAGAAACACAACAAAGACTTGAAAAAATAACGAAAGAAAATCCATATAAAAGACAATGAAATGTAAATGACTAAAAATAGTTATAGTGAATTACGATTAAAGCTAAAAAAAAATACTAAAAAACAAGAGGTCTGGTATAACGTTGACCCTCGCCCCGTTTTTGACCTATGGTTTTAATTTGAGTCTGGGTCACTACTGTTATGACACCCCATGACCTTATTTCTAGCTTGGGTCACTCTTGGATGACAACCCGTCTTTATCTCTAGCCTGGGTCACTACTGCTATGGCTACCTGACCTTATTTCTTGTTTGGGCCACTTCTGCTATGACCCCGCTGACCTTATTTCTAGCTTGGGTCACTACTGCTATGACCACCTAACCTAATTTCTAGCCTGAGTCACTTCTTCTATGATCACTGACCATATTTCTAGCCTGGGTCACTTGCTATGACTACTTGACCTTATATCTAGCCTGAGTCACTCTTGCTATGATCACTGACCTTATTTCTAACTTGGGTCACTACTGATATGACCCCACTGACCTCATTTCTAGCCTGGGTCACTCGGACTATGACTCCTGACCTTATTTCTAGCCTGGCGTCACTTCTAGTGGTTATGGTGGCCGAAGAACTCTATGTGTGCCTTAACATGAGTCGGTTAGATACGTTCTCACATCATATTACCAGTTAGTGGAATATAACATTAGATACGTTAGGGACAAATTCGTTAATCCGATCTTTTGAAAATCGCAAGTTAAGTGACCAAGTTAGATACGTTCTCATATCACCCGTCAAATAAGAATATCGAATATACGAACCTTTGAGAATGCATCCTTGTGTCGTAACTGAATTGAGCCAGTTTGATTCGCTCTCAACTCATCAGTTAAGGAGACGATTTAACTTATGGATGTTTGAGAATCCATCTTTGTATAGATACCTTAACTGGTCCACCTGCATAAGTTCCCACATCACTACTATCTGATGGGTGATCCTTTGAGACTCATGGACCAGGATGTCATATCATAAAGGTTCAGAAGCCTTTTTAGGGTGTCGTTGCTCAGTTGTTTTTCTGTATGTGACGAAGACGTGGGCATGGAGGATGGAGTGTGGAGGCCGAAACTATTGATGTGGGAGATAATCTGGAGATGTTATAGTCCAGGGAGAGGGAGATCAAGGAAAGGAGACATCTGGTGATTGGAGATTAGGAGATATTGTCAGTAAAAGGGGAGACGGGCGGACCGCGAGACAGTGTAGAGGAAGAGACTGAAATTTGTAGGAACTTTTCGGAAGTGTTTTTCACTCACATTATCTTTCTCTTCAGTTATTCATTGATTTACACACTTATTTTCCCATTATTTCTGCTTATCCTTCTATCTATCTATCTATCTATCTATCTATACATAATTCAGTACATCTTCATCTCTCTCTCTCTCTCTCTCTCTCACTTCCTATCCATGCATGCTTTGGTTCAGCCCATCCCGAAGAAGGGTGACCATTCTAATCCCTCTAACTATCTCCCCATTGCCCTAACTTCATCCCTCTCTAAGATTTTCGAAACTATCTTGAATTCCCATTTTCTCCGTCACCTTGAACGCCTTTCTCTTTTGTCGTATCACCAGTACGGCTTTCGCCAGGTGAGATCTACTGGTGATCTGTTCTCCTATTGCACCCATCTTTGGTCATCCTCTCTTAGGGATTATGGGGACACTTTGGTCGTGGCCCTCAACATCTCCAAAGCATTTGACAGGGTATGGCACAAGTCTTTGCTATCTAAACTTCCCTCTTTTAGTTTCTATCCTCCACTTTGTTTTCTAATCTCTAGCTTCCTTGAGAACCGATCCATGGCAGTTGTTGTCGAGGGATCGATCTCTCGCCCTTTCTCTACCAGTAGTGGTGTCCCACAGGGTTCTGTTCTTTCACCTACTCTCTTCCTTCTTTTTATCAATGATTTACTTCACTCTACAACTAATTCTATCCATTCTTACGCTGATGATTCTACTCTTCACTCTTCACATTTTCCCCTTCCTCCTAACTCTCAAACTAGATCTGTTTCTAGAACTGATATCTTTACTTCTATCAATGCGGATCTGTGCAGCATCTCTGCATGGGGAGGTACAAACTTGGTTAAGTTCAACAGTAATAAAACTCAATATTTCCCAGTTACACTTTGTAAATTAGACGATCTCCCACCAATTACATTTCAGGACGCTATCATCCTGCCAAATTCTGAAATAAATATGTTAGGCCTCACCATTTCCTCCAATATGTCCTGGAAATCACACATCGTTGATATAGCTAAAGCTGCCTCCCGAAAGCTGGGAATGCTGTACAGATGCCGTAGCTACTTCACTCCTGAGCAGTTGCTCCAAGTATAAAAGGGATTCATTCGTCCTAACTTGGAGTACCTCTCTCATATCTGGGGTGGCTCTTCTGCTGTCCAACTGTTAGATAGGGTGGAATCAATGGCATTTCGTCTTATTAACTCTCCTCCTTTAGTCGACAATCTCTCTTCCCTTTCTCTTCGCCGCAATGTTGCTTCACTCTCTCTCGTTTACAAGTACTTTAACGGGCAATGTTCCGCGGATTTCGCATCCTGTGTACCGCGGTGTCCACCATTTCTCTGTGGCTGTCGTCACACTAGAACAACCCGCTACAGTACATCCTTCTTTCCTCACACAGCCAAACTGTGGAATGCTCTGCCTTCTTCTGTGTTTCCATACTTATACAATCTGTCTCACTTTAAAAAGCTGGTTTTCCGGCATCTTCGTGGTGTAGATTAACACAATAACCTTTTTCTTCTTTATTTTCAATTTCTTTCTGCTTTTTTTTTCGCCCCCTAGGCCCCGTTGTGGGTCGTTTGACCTGTGCCCTGGTGGGCTAATTCCCGTAAAAAAAAAAAAGACCCCCATTTCTCAATTAATTTTCCCTTCCTCTATTTTCCCCAATTCTCCTTACGTTCATATTCGTCTTTCTCTCTTCCTCTGTCTGTCTGTCTCTCTTTCTCTCTGTCTTTCTCTCTTCTTTTTCGCAATCAATAAAAAAAGAACAAAACCTTAAACTACCTCAAAAAATAGAAGTAGGGAAGAAGGATAATTAATAACGATAGTCGATGATAAAAATACAATAACAAGGTACATAGGAAAAAATATAATAACGATAATAAGTGATAACTGTGGGTGAAAGAAAATGGGGTACTAGGATAAATAAAGGTAATGATTGAATAATAATAATTAGGATACGTGATAAAGATGGTAGATGGGAGGAAAACCGAATAATAGGATGAATAGAAAATAAATGATAATAATGGTGGATATTAGAAGAGATGATAATACGATAATAAAAGAAGATAAAGATAATGCGGATTGTTAATGATCGTGGTGGATAAAGGAAAGGAATGGTAATATGGTGCACAGAAGAGAAGGTGATAACGATGGTGGATATGAGTGGGAGGTGATAAGCTATAATGAGGCTTTTGGGGGTAAGAGCTTGTTAAACACTTTTGGCTAATTAGGTTAATTAAGTTTAGAAGGGATTACCTATTCCGGTGTGTGTGAGAGAGAGAGAGAGAGAGAGAGAGAGAGAGATTAAAACCTCCTTCTGCTGTACACGAGAGAAATAAATAGAGAGAGACAACGACCCCCTTTTCTTTTCTCTCTTTTTTTTACGGGGATTAGCCCATCCGGTCACAGGTTACTGACCCACATCGGGGCCTGGGGGGCGAAAATGTAATAATAATAATAATAATAATAATAATAATAATAATAATAATAGTAATAATAATAATAATAATAATAATAATAATAATAATAATAATAATAATAATTCATAGTAAACAAAACGTATAATAAAAATACAAAATTAAGAATAAAATAATAGTGATAACAATAATAATAATAGCAACACTGTAATAATAGTAATAAAGAACCATAAAGAAAAAAATCATTATTGAACAAACAGAAAGTCAGATCAGCAACCTGGGACTTGGTCACAATTTTCGTGATGCCGTATAACAGCAGCAGGGTCTACCATTGGACAACACATTATGCTTCCAATATCTTCCCAGGCGGTAGTACCTCCCTGTTTGAGCAGCGTACTACACAACATTAAAAAAACACAATGACAATCCACAATCACCACAGTCTTCCTCCACCATATAAAGGAATGAAATCACAATAGAATAACTGAATACATCAGTTTTAATTTTTCTTTTATCCAATATAATAATACTCAATATAACATACAATATTACCTTAACACAGATGTATAATTGAATGTCAATAAATCCTAAGTTCCTCCTTTAACTTATAAATTAATAAAGTGTCACTGAGTAGAACACACAAAGGTTATTTTAACACATATTAATAACCTGGTCTCCATTGATAACTGAGAACAAAGCGTCTCTCTCTCTTGGTGGCTCTTTTAAACACTTCCTCCATCTCCGGGCAGAAAAACAAGCCTGAGCGTCACAGAATATTGGACCTGTCTTTTCTCCCGCCTTTCCGCTCAACTTATTCCTTTTTCATGCGGAATATGACCTCCTTACAGGACATTACATCCATATAAGGACATATTAGGATATAATAGGATATATTGGGATATGAAATAAGCGAGGAAAGAAATATAGTCAAAGGTGAAACTGGATAAAAAGTTCGTAAGATTGTTGTTTGTGAAAAAAAAATCTTAATTGAGACATGTGAAGACGTATCTCTTTATCTCCTCACATCTGCAACGAAGTAGAGATGTAGTGCTTAAATGGCGTCGAAGTTTTTCTGAAACTCTATCTATAGCCACGTTCTCTCAACACCAGTTAGGAAGCAGAAAGGACTCAAGAATCTCAAAGAATGTGGGTATGGCAGCCAATATCCTCGGTCAAGGGACCCCTGGTATAAATGTTTACCAGGTGACGCAGGGTCCCTCTTTACGTGTTTACACTTGATATTGAACAGGTGGTAACTTACTGTGCATTAGGTGCAGTGTGAAGGTATTTTATGGTGTGTGTGTGTGTGTGTGTGTGTGTGTGTGTGTGTGTGTTTAAATACATGTTTATTTATTTATATATCTGTTTACCTCTTTTTTACAGCAGTTTCTTTTCCCTTGCAGGTGAGTATGACTTTGCTGGAGAAGTTTCTACTGATTATATAGATTAAGTACACAGGTAAGGCATGTTACCTGTCTCTTGGGATTTAGGGCGTATATGGAATTAATTAGATGATATATAAAAAGTATATAATTTAGAGAATACATTTACAGAATTATGACAACTTCTCAGACGTTACATAAACATATTGAAGATGTTTCCTTTGTTCTGGTTTGGTGTTGATTTAATTAGTGTTTTAAAAGAACAGGTGTAAGTTGATCAATATTGGAGATAAATTAATGAGGATGATTGACAGGCTGGGGCAGGTGTGTTGGGGTGTCGAGAAGTGAGTGACGTACAGTACATATACATATGAATACATATACATATATATTCTCTAAGCATGGATATGAACGCGCGCGCACACACACACACACACACACAGTCTATCGTTTTTCATGTCTCTAACTT